TTAATAAGTTATATCTAAGGGCCCTTCCAGCTCAGACATTCCTAGGTTTTTATAGCTGTAGAATTCAGCTTGGCCTGTAGCTTTTTTTTTTTTTTTTAAGATTTTATTTATTTATTATGAGAGACACAGAGAGAGAGAGAGAGAGGCAGAGACACAGGCAGAGGGAGAAGCAGGCTCCATGCAAGGGGCCCGATGCAGGACCTGATCCCGGAACTCCAGGATCACGCCCTGGGCCAAAGGCAGGCGCTAAACCACTGAGCCACCCAGTGATCCCTGGCCTGTAGCTTTGGAAGGGAAATTTAGGCGGACTCAGAAGGCAGAGAACAGAATCCTGCAGTAGGGATCAGAAGACTTGTGTTCAAGTTTGGGCTCTGCCACTCTCTGCTGTGTGACTTTGGACAAGTCCCTTCCAGTTTCTGTACCCATTTCCCCATCTGTTTAAAAGCTAGCAGCTGGAGCTTGAGGACCTCTAGGGGCATATCCAGTTCTAACATTTTGGGAATTAGAGGCCTAGAGGAAGTGTCTTAGCTACCATCTTTTACATTTTCAACTCCCTTCCCTTCTGCCCCTGTTTCTTCATAGCAGAAAGGACATAACTTGTTAACTCCAATGGATGTATTTCAATCACATTAAAATTTTTTAAATTTAGGGGATCCCTGGGTGGCTCAGCGGTTTAGCTCCTGCCTTTGGCTCAGGGCATGATCCTGGAGTCCTGGGATTGAGTCCCACATGGGGCTCCTTGCATGGATCCTGCTTCTCCCTCTGCCTATGTCTCTGCCTCTCTCTCTCTCTTTCTCTCTGTGTGTCTCTCATGAATAAATAAATACAATCTTTAAAAAAAATAAAAAATTTTAAATTTAATTATTCATGAGAGACACACAGAGAGAAGCAGGCTCTATGCAAGAAGTCGGATATGTGACTGGATCCTGGGACTCCAGGATCATGCCCTGAGCTGAAGGCAGATGCTCAACCACTGAACCACCCAGGCATCCCTCAATCACACTTTTTGTTCTTACTGTGCTTTAGAACCAAGCTTAATGCATTTTTTTCCAAGCAAAGTGCATTGTGTCAAAGAGGTCAAAGCATGCTCTGTGTTTTCAAATGCAAAAGACAAGATATTGTATAAAATTACTACATATGCTGATTACCTTTACATTTATCTCAAAAATGACCAGAACGGGCAGGCTTGTGTGTAATACTTTAGAAAAAAAAAAGTGCTGCAGTCAATGTATCCTAAAAAAATAATCATAGGTATGATTAGATAAAAGGATGTTTAAATGGGAAATAAAAAATGGGAAATAACCTAGCTGTCCAGTGTTTAGTGTTAACTAAATTATGGTATATCTACTTGAGGGCAGTATTAAAAATGGTGATGCAAACGTCAAATTATTAGGTTCCAATTGGTTCCAAACTCAGTTCCAAACAGTATGATTTAAGTTTTAAAAAAGCATTAAGTTGAACTATTCCTTCTTTTCTAAGATTTTATTTTTAAGCAATCTCTACACCCAACCTGGGGCTCGAACTCGTAACCGTGAGACCAAGAGTTGCATACTCCACTGCCTGAGTCAGCCAGGTGCCCTGTATTAACTATGTTTTCTATGAACAATTCAAGTACTACTACTAAAAATAATTGCCCAGGAAAGGCATACTACTGTATGAACAGTAATTTTTCTGCCTGATCATAGCCTGTTTATCATTTGTATTTAAAAGGTCTAAAATGACTGCAATTTTATGACCATGGGCAAGATGGAAAGATAACTCTACTCTTTTGTATTTTTTTTTTTTAACCAGGATTGGTTTTTATTCAGTAGTGACTGTTTAGAACACTTTGCTGGTGGGCCCAGCTTTTCAAAGCCCTCTTCATCTCTTGCCACTCCCCGACAACAGACAAATGTTTTCCATGAGCCCTATCACTGGGCCGTAAGGCCAGCTGTGTCCCTAATCCGCCCATGTCCCAGATTTGGGAATGGCTCAGACTCCAACTGTTTCCCCCACTCTACCCCCACTGTCTCCCAACCTCATCTCTTCCAGGTCATCGGAGGCCCCAGCTACCCTCCCTGGCCTTCCCCACTGATCACCACCTAATTTCGACACCTAATTTCACCCTCTTCTGTGCAGCTGGTGTTTGAGCTCAGTTTGCAATGGGAAAGGATTAGGACCCTTTCATGCTGTCTTTTTTCTTTTTGTTTTGTTTTTTCCTCAGTGCCCTTGACCGCTTTAGGGGCTGACAGGCAGCTAGCAGGGCCTGTATTCCCTAGGAAGGAACAGGAGGGGTGGTGGAGGAGGCAGTGGTGGGCTCAGCTGGCAGGCGGGATAGAAATGGCCCCTAGAGACCCCAACCTGGGTCTTGGAGCATGGCACAACCGCCACCCAGATGTGAGCATGAAGCAGGCAGGCAGGTTGCTGAATTTCTGCCTAGAAAATTAGCCTCAGGGATGGTGCTTGGGACTTTTACCCTTGGGACCCAGTGGCTGCCTCTGCGGGGTGAACTGGAACTGGATGTCTGAATTGCAGAGACACATGGGCACATGACTGTGGGTAGTGTGGGTAGCTTCTCTTCCTTCAGACTGGGCATTACTTATCCCCTCACTCTCTACTATGTGGTGGGCCTAGCTAACTCAGGGATTGAGGACTTTGCCTAATAGGTGATGGTGTATAACCTAATTAATAACAAAATCAGTCATGCATATATAGTACTTTCTAGTTTACAAAGCCCTTTCATCTCCAGGCTAAGAATTGAAAGTGAAAACTGGAATTCAGGTCTTTGTGATTCTAAAGCCAGTGCCAGCAGTTTTTGGTGTGGTGTTGCAGAGCACTCTCAATATGAGAGTGATTTATACTAAAGTGCCTTAGTCTAGCTATTTTTTCCTACCCTGAGACTCCTACTTTTTTTCAGGGTGGTGATTGCAAGTACTACACACTCCATCCAAACAGGCCTTTTGAAATATGTTATGTCATTGGCTAGCACTTCATGGGATAGAGACTATTGGTTTTTATGAATCTGAATTTGCTGGATTAGTGGTCATGGTGGTCATGGTAAGCCACCTGGTGATTGATCTTCAGGATTTATCCTCCATGGTACCAGATTTTCAGGTCTGATAAGGAGGAAGCCTCTGAGGCACAAACACGGTAGGGTGAGAGCTCCCTGAATCAAAAGTATGGCTTAACCTGAGAACCCGAGATAGGGGACCAGAATATTCAAGAATAGGTGCTTTACCTCTGGTACACAGAATGACCCTGGCCAAGTCACCTGACCTTACTAAGCTTCAGCTTCCTTATATATAAAATGGGGATAATTTGTTCACTTGTTCAACAAGTACTTATTGAATCTGCACTATTCCGGGAGATGAATAAGAGGGGGCAAAATCCCTGTCCTCTTGAAGCTTGCCATTTAGTGGATCTAAACTGCCACAATTTATTGAGAGGTGCAATAAATAATTAAATATAAAGAAAGTCAGGTAGAAGTAAGGGCTATGAAGCAAATCAAAGTGAGACAAGGTAAAAATAAAATCTTTAAAAAGGGGAGTGTAGAGCATGCAACTCTTGGTCTTGTGGTTGTGAGTTCGAGCCCCATGTTGGCTGTAGAGATTACTTAAAAATAAAATCTTAAGAAAAAAAAAGCAGGGCAAGGGTACTGTGGAGTATATTTTAGATAGGGTAGTCAGGTAGTGCTCAAGTGATTCACTTAGGATGTTTCAAACAGGTAATTCATGCCATGTGCTCAGCTCAGTGCTGACAGTTGAGAGCTTAACAAACACATTATGTCAGGCTGCGCTACATCTCTCAGTCCATATTTCAGTCTCTGAATAGCAGTAACAGTGAACACTTAGGTAGATCTTACTATGAGCTAGGCACTATTCTAAGCCCTTTACATATTTTAACTGACTTAATTCTTACAGTAGCTCTTATGAGGCTGAACTATCATTATTTCCCTTTATGGGGTTAGAGACAGACAGAAGTCCAAAGCATGAGGGAGGACTGAACCCAGGTGTCTGTGTCTAGAGGCTGAGCTGCAGATGGGAGGGGCTGTGATCAGATACCAGGAGAGCCAGAAGCTGGCATAAGGCAGGTTCTGGTTAGATGGCCTGGCTTCTTATCCTGACAGGTCTAAGCCTCTCTGCCTCAGTGTCTTCATCTCTAAAATGGGAATACCAGAATCTATCTTACGTTAGAGGGACTGTGCTTTCATTCTGCTCTGTGCGGTCTCAGCCTTTTCAGAGACCAGCCTGGCAGGGAGTGTGAAGAGTCAAGGGGCCTCCCGAAACTCCTTTTCAGGAGTCCATAAAGGCACATCAGGCAACTTGTCAGAGCAAGCCTAAGTTCAGCTGGCGTGCAGACCTCGGAAGCTAGGTCTTTATGATTTTGAGGGTGCCCGGAGTGAGACCCTTCCATGCAAAAAAGACAGGTGAAATCTTGGCTTGGCCACAGCGTTCAGCTTCCGCGTCGGGCCTGGCACGGCTGCCAGGAGCGGTAAAGCCTCCACGAATGTCAGGGTGGGAATGGCGCCTGGACACCACCGAGTTAGTAGGTGGGGAAACTGAGGCCCGGAAAAGCTAAGTGATTTAGCGAAGAAGGTCACGAGGTGCACGGGTGGGCGGTCGGCTGGCAGCATCCACGGCTTTGCTTGAGGCTTCCAAATCCCGGCGGGAAGGGCCTCCCCTCGGTCCGGGGAGCGAGCGGCCTCGTTCCCCACGTGGGTGCTGCAGGGGCCGGGAACACCCGGCCTGCGGAGCGAGTTGGACGTGCGCTTGCGCACTCGCGCCCAGCCCCTCGCCTTCTCCCCGCTCTTTCCCTCCCCTCCCGGGCGCTGACCGGCCTCGGGGAGGGGGACACTAGAGGAGCGCCCAACTTGGCCTCAGCCAATGGGCAGGCGGGCCGCGGGCCCGGCCCCCTCCCTCCCTCGGGCGCCGCCCAATAGAAATCTACTACAATGTTGTGGCGCACGGAGGGGGAGGGGCGCGCGCGGGCTGGCTGGCTGCGGGCCGGCGGCCTCGCCTCGCGGAGGGAAGGCGGGAGGGCGCGCGCCGGGGCCGCCTGCTCGCTCGCTCGCTGGCTCCCTCCCTCCGCCGGTGGGTTAGTCAGTCAGTCAGTCAGTCAGTCAGTCAGTCCGCCAGCAGCCGGCGGGCCGGCGAGCCGCAGAGGGCCCGAGTGTCGGCGCCGGCGCCTTCTCCTGCCATTGTTCCTCGGGCGGCTGCAGCGGCGGGCTCGGGAGCCCGGGCCCCGGGGCCACCGGTGAGGCGAGGCGGCGGCGGCGGCGGCGCGCGAAGCGGGGTGGGGGCGCGGAGCTGTCCCCGAGGGGACGGTCCTGGCGGCCGCGGCGGCGCCGCCGCAGCCCCTTTGTCTGCAGCCCGCCCCCCCCTCAGGCCCCGGGCCGGGGGCGCGGAGGCTGCGGGGCTGCAGGCGGGACGCGGCCGGCCTGAGCCGAGGGAGGCGGGCGGGCGGCGGGGGGGCGGCCGCGCCGAGGGAGAGCCCCGCAAAGTTGGGCTCGGGGTCTTCGACGAGGTCCGCCCATCGCGGCCCGCGGGCAGGAGCCTTGGAAGGAAACCAAATGGAGGAGGATTGCGGGTTCCGGGTGGCGAAGGTGTTGCGTGCAGCCGCAGAGCAGTTTCTTCGTGACGAGGTGGCCGGGCTGCCGGGAGACGTCTGGCGCGGTCGGAGGGCTGGAGGGAGCCTTCCCGCCCGAGACCCCCGCCCGGCGGGAGGACCCCCCGCGACCCCCCCCCCCCCGCGACCCCGAGGCCCTGCCGCGCGCCCGCCGGCCTTCGCGGTGCCCAGGGACCAAAGGGTTAAATCTATTCTCTCAGCATCGTGACCTCCTTTTTCAGTTCCTGCATCTGTCGGCTTGGAAGGATTTCCTCCTGCTCGCGGGGCTGCTTCTACCTGGGGGGAGGCTGGCCGTGGGCTCGGCCTCCCAGAGCCTCCCCTCCCCCCGCGATGGTTCCGGGGGCGCCCGGGGCGGGGGGGGGGAGCCGCCGGGACCCGGTCCATCCGCCTCAGGGTCGCGGGTTCTCTGGAGAGACGCTGATCTCACGTGCGACGAATTGCTGACAGACGGGTTTCTGGCCACATGATAGCCACTGTCATCCTGTTGTTCCTCTTCCCCGTGCCCTACCATACATGCCTAGTCTGGGGGGACTTCTGTTTTTTGTGTTTTTTTTTTTTTTTTTGGCATGAACTGCTGATTAGGAGATGGGTGTTCTGTTTTTTGTTGTTGTTTTGTTTTTTTTTTTTTTGTTTTTTGTTTTTTGTTTTTAAGTAGTCTGGGTGATTTCACAGTTGCTATTTTGTTCTTTCTGTTTTTAAGGAAAATCGCAAGAAATGGTTGTGTCTTGGATATTATTATAGTGGATTTATGCTCCGTTGAGGACATCCTGTATACGCTGTTGCTCACTACTGTTTTCTGTCTTCTCACTCCTGGCAGAAATTTTAGTTGGTTTTATGCTTTTAATCGAGCAGGTGATCTATATGTTATATTTCCCCCTTACTCTTTGTGGAAACTTGATGTACTCTTTTATTTCCTTTTTTCCTGTGAGTTGGAAGCATCCTGAGTTCTTTGCCAGTTGTATGATTTTTGGTTTTGTGGATAGTTTCTCGGGGGTGTTCTTGATATAATCCGTGTAGAGTATGTGGCAGGGTATCTGGCACACAGTCAGCACTCAATAAATGACATAAAAAGTGACTATAACTGAATGTCAGATTGCCTTGGAATCATGGTGCTAATTCAGAGTGCTTTCTACAAGAGGTTATAATTAAGATAAAGACAAGAGTTATTCATATCTCTGGGTATATCTGAAGTAGGGTATATCTTTACCACTATTAAAAGTGAACTCAAAAAAAAAATAAAAGTGAACTCACTGGGAGTGTGCTAATAACCTTCTGATTTCTTTTTCTGGTAGTAACCCGACAACACTTTTCTCCCTTATTTATATAGCTGAATTCAGGCTTGGAAATAAATGTTTTGAATTTTTAGGCCTCCCCAAAATTCTCCCAACATTTATACCAGTGTTTTAATGCCAAATGTCTTATACATAAGTCCCCAAACTACCTTTCCACCGCTATCCTCATTACTTGTGTTTTTCAACCAAGAAGAGCTTGGCTATCGGTCTCTTTGGCTGTGCTGTTCTGGATATGTTCTTCCTGACTGTTTTTGGACCTTTCACCTTAAAAATGCTCCACATATTAGGAATTTGAAGTATGGGGAAAAGTTCCATATGTGGAAGGAACGTGATGGAGTTTTTTTGTTTTGTTTTGAATTTTCTTAGAGATTCATTTGTATGGCTAGCTAGTTCAGTTTTCTTTAATGGGTGTTTGTTAAAAGGATTTAGGTCCTAAGTGTCCCATGGATATGGGTAGCCCTTAGTAATAGATGATGGCTGATGGTGGATTAAGAAAACTACTTAGGCTTCCATTCTACACAGAGCTAAGAACTCTACCAGTTGGCAAGTTTAAGTTTAATGCTTGTAAATTCTGACTGTCAGCAAATAGACTAAGCTAATAGAAATAGACTAAGCTAATCCAAGCTAGGAGACTCATCTTTTAGGTGTCTCTGCCTGCTTTATGCATCTTTTCTCTTTCTTGGTGGTCTAAGGGTCAACATTTCCTTAATGTTTGTTAAACGCTCAAATGATATTTGTTGTGTTCAAATAGTAGATATGTTGAACAAACCTGTTTTAAACTAGGCTTATCCTCAATACAAAATAACAAGATAGAATAATATTAGCAAAGTAGTAGAACAACATTAGCAAAGGAATACACGGTTTTGCATATTTAAACATGCTCTCGGGATCCCTGGGTGGCGCAGCGGTTTGGCGCCTGCCTTTGGCCCAGGGCGCGATTCTGGAGACCCCGGATCGAGTCCCACGTCGGGCTCCCGAATTAGCCTGCTTCTCCCTCTGCCTATGTCTCTGCCTCTTTCTCTCTCTCTCTCTCTCTGACTATCATAAAATAAATAAAAATTAAAAAGAAAAATTTAAACATGCTCTCATTTTATCCCTTCTCTTTTTCTTCTGAAACACTTGTAAGCTAATATCAAAATTAACAAATGATTTTATTATTTTGTTTTTTGAAGATACTTATTTATTTGGGAGTGCACGAGTAGGGGCAGAGGGAGAAGGAGAGGGAGAATTTTAAGCAGACTCTGTGCTGAGTGCAGAGCCCCACATGGGGGCTCTGCTCTCAGACCCTGACATCATGACCTGAGCTGAAATCAAGAGTTGGACACTTAACTGACTGAGCCACCCAGGCACCTCTAAACTGACAAATCATTTTAAATGATTCCTGTCTCCTCTGGAAAAAAAAAAAAAAAAGGTTGTGGCATTTGTTGAGGTATGACCTATATATTTTTTCCTGTTCTTTTTTGTCAGGTTTGTGCCCTACATTTAAAGTTCACCAGTGTGATGTTTTCTTGTCTGCAGCTTAAGTTTAACATTTTTGGAAATTACAGAGCTAGACTTCCATCTCGTTTTTCAGTTTTTATGGTCTTAATTTTAAACAAATTCATATTATGGGAGATAGTGTGCTTACAGTATTATTTGGTTTCCTTCCTACTTTTGCTAAGAATGCTTCAGAGTTAAGTCTGTCAGCAGTGTTGCCTAAACATCACAGGGTTCTTGAATTCTCTGCAGGTGCTTCGATACGCATATCCATAGATCGTGATTTAAAATATATGGTCTTAGGGCACCTGGGTGGTTCAGTGGTTAAGCGTCTGCCTTTGGCTCAGGTCATGATGCCTAGTGAGGGATTGAGCCTGCATGGGGCTCCCTCTTCAGCAGGGAGTCTGCTTCTACTTCTGCTCCTCACCCTGCTCATGTTCTCTCTCTCTCTCTAATAAATAATGTCTTTAAAAAATAAATAAATGCTTTTTAGTATTGCCTCTTTTTGAGATCTACTTCTGAAGAGTAAAGTCAGCCTTAGTAGGAGGCAAAAACCAAAAAAAAAATATATGATCTATAATATGTGATATGAGTGATAGAGCTTGCATATAGTGTCTTCTGAATGTTCAAATCCAGTTTAATATTAGTGATCTGATTTTATGACTTTAACATATCAGTGTCTCCTGGGGGGGGGTACTGAATTTGGTTCTGAAATCAAGAGGAGCACATGTTTAGACTACAATCTGTTTTCTTGTTATCTAAGGAGCTGGCCAGAACCAAGTGCTGCCGGTGTGTTTTTCCAAGAGTCTTATCAAATCCGTGATTGGTTACATGGCATGTTCAGATGCAGATTCATCCCTACCTTTGAAGAACTTGTTTTTTCCTCTATTTCTTGAGAATGGAATAATTTTATTTTATTTGTGAGCTAAGCAATGATAATTTTAAGAACTTTTTTTTTTTATGAATGGCTTTTTTCTCTAATACTCCCAATGTTGAAACTTAAAAACTTTTAAAAAAGGCCTCTGAATTTATCAGTTGTGGGCCTTATTTATGTAGAGGATGTAGACTTTTTGGAAGGTAATTGAGTCATTGCATTTATAATAGCTTTAAGTTAGAGAAGAGCCAGATTCTAAATATATACGTTAATTTTTGCTTTTATTTAAGTTTGTTGGAATGTCATTGGTGGCTTACTGTGTGTCCTTTTTATGAGTAGCTTCGTAGTATGTTCAGTAAAATGCAGTGTAACAAATACTCTGGTATACACACTGGGTTAAATTAGTATTTCAGTCTACTCTGCTGCTATTTAATGAATACACAGAGAGAAGGATTAAAGAAGCTATAAGCAACAAACAGTATTCAGAAACTGAAGGTGTTAGGAAAACTTTGATATTTTATTTTGAGTGCAGATCTTATTTAGAATTAACTGCCTTACTGATACCACTTCACATACTGGTTTTAGGAAAGTTTAGCGAGAGAATCTGATTATGATGAAAGTCTGTTTGCACTTATTTTTCTTAATTATTTTTATTTAAATGAGATTGTATCAGCCTTGAAGTATTTGAAAATAAATTGGCTAGCCCTTTGGACTTTAAAGAAAAACAAAATACCAACATTGGATGTGGTCAATACAATTCAAGGAATAACTTGGAGACTTGGAGAGTAATATACTCTACTCCCTAATCTTTATCAGCTTCCTCCAAAGTCACCCTAAATAAATATGCTACCCTTAAAAGTCCTTTGTATATAGAAATTCTGGCATCATGTTTATTTTATTATCTATTATTTTGTTATCGCACTTATTAAGACTGGTTCTCATACTGCAGTTATCTCTTGATTATCTCCAAGATAAATCCATATGGA